ACAAGCGGTAAAAGAAGACGGTCAAAAATTGAAGCATAACAACAACGGTTCGTTCTTTTATGAATGTTATCAAGAGAGATGATAATGTTTTAAAAGAAATAGGCATGAATTTAAAGATTAATCGTAAAGTCAGCTATTTTTCTGCCTTCGATCACATGGAGCACCGTTTGACCAAAATTATCTCGAGGTCAGCGGTAAGATGTTCATAAAACAAAAGAAAAGGGTGTACAGAGCGATGATAAGACCGGTTCTTTTGTACAGAAAGGAATGCTTGACTAATGCCGCCATAAAAAAATACGAGCAATAGCCGAAATCCATAGAAATGCTAATCTTCAAATCGACTTGTTGCGTCAGCAAAATAAACCATATCTCAAATACCTCCAGAACAGGTACTTTAGGGTAGCACTAATTTTAGCAAACAGCTAATCGAAAACAAGCTCTGCCGGCTCAGCTACGTGAAACGAAGACCAAAAGAGATTCTTGGTGATACAATCCAAGCACTGATATTGCTAAGGAAGAGAAGAAGGGGAAGATAGAAGAAAAAATGGCGCGATATAGTAAAGAACTATATGGAACTGCGAACTGTTCGATCAGCACAGAATCTGGAGATATGACAAAGTGGGCTGATTCAGCGGACATGCAAAGCGGAACACAGTAGAAAAAAGAATAAACTAATTTATAAAATCATTCAACTACAGATATCAGATTTACTCCGCGAAAAGTGCAAAATACATTTACCTACTTTACAACGACATTGCGCTGGTGTAAGACAGATTGATCATCATACCGGCTTGTACCGCAACACTGCACCGTCGCTTGTTCTTAATTGTTGAGGGAGGACATCTTAAGCAGGCATCGGTTCCATCGCATTTAACTGCATACAGTGCGTCACTGAGCCAGGTTGGACAAAAACTTGTTCAAGCGCCATAAAACTGTACCTGGGTGATATTTTCTTTTATTTTCTGTATATTTGCTGATGGAGAGGGGCAACTCCCCCCCTTCTTTCCCAACGGAGAAACAGAAGGGTGGTGCAGTATAAGGCACTCGCAGTCGCATGGGTAAGAATATTTCAGACAATAACACTCATCCAATTCACGACCGTCTCTCATAAATTTCATCAGTCAGATACAGGTATGTCAGTGTTTCTAAAGAACGGAACTGCATTGAAGATCCATGATCCCAGCCTCAGTTTGCCTTCTACGACGTTCCACTCACGTTCAACAACAATAATTGAATTTTTTTCAGTGTGACATAGTCTTCGTCCGGTTTTTCTGTACTGACTCTGTTTTGCGTTTTTCTACTGGTTTCACAGGAGGTTCGTTTGATCACTCGTTCTCTCTGTTAACTCTGAGCGTTCGATTTAACTCTGTTGTGTGATGACTACATGGATGTAATGCTGCTTCTTACTTTCTTCTGTCGAAAAATTCAATACTTTGGCATTCCATTCAAACAGTAAACCTACGTTCGCTATAAAATATAATAATTATAACCTGAAGCTTACTCGACTTCATGAAGAAGCTTGTTAACATAGATACACGGATTATCGGCAACTTCTTTATGGTCACAATTGCGGCATGCGTACAACAAAATACGACTGTCTTTGTCTTCTTTCGGATACAGCATGTTATTACTAAAACATATTTTTAAAGGCTAGCTAGAAAAAGTACTAAATTAGACAGTCAATCACGAGGTGACGAAAATAAATTTCGAATGGACAATGCATAACTGCACTGTTACTTTTTACGTACAAAAATTGACCAACAAATTTAATACGCTAATAGGTGACCATCGCTAGAACAAAAACAAACTGCACTCGAACGTCGAATACATAACTGCTAGGGTTTGAGATCTCTGAACTGGTCGAAACTGGGCTTCATATAAATATGATGCATCACTAGCTGTTCACTTTAAAAGATATATACCTTGTCGTAATTTTGCCTGTCACTATTAGTTACTTTACTGACTCACACTGCATTTTTCTGTGCTTTTCGAAATGTTT